TAAGTCTTCTATTCACACCTGTAACCTGCCAACATTTTGTCTGCCAAAGTTCTTCTCTGTGAGACTCAGTCTGCAAAACTCTTAATGTTGAACGTGCAGTCGTGTCACGTGATTCTGTTATCTCAGTGTAATGCACAACTTTCAGTCCAGGAACTTTGGTATTCCATTGGTGTTTACTGGTTTCAGAATATTCAGAATATTTATGATTTAGCATGAATTGCAGTCATACATCACTAGACAAGAACAAGTAGTGCACATGTTTTTGCTACCTATGAAGCGCCTTGAGGCGACTTTTGTTGTGATTTGGCGCTATATAAATAAAATTGAATTGAATTGAATGTTTTTAAGTGAGAAGGTGATTTAGACGCCAACCGATAGCAGATGTAATGGAATATAACATTTCTGTAAGATTGTTCCCTTCGCAATGTCAAATTTGTCATCAAAAGGTCTTAAACCTCCATGTTTTTTATTTTGAAAAACACTTTTTTTCAAACGTTTATGTTCCCCACAAAGACTCGGTGTAAATGTTCATGTTGCAGAAAGACTTTAATGTTTATCACCAAGAAAAGACAGTTTACATCACAGTGGTATGTCGTGATACAGAAAAGGAGCATTTGTTTAACCAGAGACAAGAAAATGAGGCACAAAGAGTGTCGAGGTGGTCTTAGCTATTGTAAAGTTACGGAAGATCAGCGTCTCCTGCGGCGCTGTGGTGTGGGCGTTGTCCCTTCCACGCATTCTGCTTTGCTGCACTGGCATGACTGTACCATGGTGTAGCTGTGCTGCAGCTTAGACCCATCAGCACAGGTAAGCTCCACCTGCTCCACACTTGTGGTGGCTTCTTGGCAGCACTCGCAATTGTGTACCATTGTGTTGGCTTCCATAGAGTACCTGAACACACACACACACACACACAGAAAGACCCGTTAATGAAGTCTGCACTAGTTACAGTAACTAACAGAAAAATATGAATGTTCTGTACAATGCCTCATCCTGAGTGGCTGATGTTTAAAGATAATCATTACTTTATTGTTGCACTCATATATACTAGTTATTATTCATGAGTTTGCCTACAGCAGATAAATAATGGTGTATTCTTTGGTGTGCACTAAAACAAACGTATGAGAAAGAACACAGTGAGCATGTAGCAGCCAGTTAAGGGAAATGACTCTCAGTTAAATTTCAAATAAACGACTCACATGGAGAAACTGTCGCAGTGTCCAGCGCAGTATGTGATGTTAACTGGCTGTGCGCTCTTGCAGTTGTTCAGTTCAATGATTCTCTGCTCCTTCTGGGTCTTACACACACTGATATTGCCTGGAACATAACAACAGTCGCACACTCACGTGAGGCACAGTTTGAAACTTTGCTCTTAACATTATTTAGTTATTTAGTTTGATGCTTACAGGTTTTGCAGCAGCCACTGGCATCTGTTGTTTCAGTGCCCTGGAGGAAGAAGACATTTCATGTTGTGTGAATTATTCAGCAGTAAAATGCAAAATCCACTAATCTGATCTGTAAAAGTCTAATAAACTCACAGGTTCACAGTCCAAGGGGTTAAAGGGAGGACAACTAGTCTTGGTTTCCTTGGTAACAAGCTGTCCATTGAGCTTCTC